TAAAGTATAAGACAAAAATGACTGTGCAAACCTACTGCAAAATTTGAGCTATGAAAATGAATTCACAAAACTCAAAAAGCTTAATAAAAAGATCAAGCCGTTGATACACTGAGAGTTCACCCACCCACTCCTGCAATTCCGATATATCACGTTTAAAAGAGAATTACAATTCCTCCTGGAAAGAGGACACGGTTTTCAAAGTAAGACAGTCCACACACGTTGCCAGGACTGTCTCAAGTGAAAAAGTGATATCCCCGTTCGGTTGAGGATTAGCAGTTTGTCAGCGTTAACCTGGTCAAAAACAGTTTCGAATCCAGGCAGACGCAGCACTCCCCGCCCCAGCGGAGGCTGTCTGACTACGCGCTTACTAACGGTCCAAAGCACGTGACCAAAAACGGGGCAGGCCCACAGCCCCGGCCCGAGCGGCTGCGGGCGGGCGGGAGGCGGGCGGCCTGCAGGCTGCCCCAGCGCGCAGCCGCTCTTCCCTGGGCACCAACGGAGGCCCCGGCAGTACAGCAGGAGGGTCCTCCACACGAAGTTCTCCCCTACCTACACTGCAGGAGCCAGCCTGCACCCCCGCTCTCCCCCTCTTCTCCCTCTTCCTTCCCCCCCCCCCCCTTTTTTTTTTCCTCCTGTTCCCCTGCTACCCCCCAAGAGACAGGACACAGTCTGGTGATTCAGGGACTCACACAGGCCCAGCTTCCTTCTGTGCAACCCTTTGGGTAGAGCTGCTAATCCTTCTTATTAATTAACGAGATAATAGCAGTTAACTGGAAAGCAATATTAATGCTATTTAGGAAACTTCCAACAGAAATTATTCAGTCTTTTTACTGATTTCCTTCTATCAAAGTCGTGCAGCTGGAACTGTAGCAGCACCTTGATTGTTGAAGAAGTCAAAAATACAAGAGTGCCTGAACAGTGTCAGACTAAGGACATCTGCATCTATTTTCTGCTCTCCTTGGATAGTTTAAAAGATCCTCCCCTCCCGCAACTTCAGAGATTATTAACAGCTGGGGATGAGGGCTCCCACAATTATATCACTCTTACACAACGACAAGGGATAGTGTAAACAGTAACATGACTTATCTGAGAAATGTATTCTGAGAGGCACACTCATTAAAAACACTTACAAATGGTTACCATTTACATGTACCATTGTGTCAGTCCTTTAAACTCCCAAATTGTTTCTCAAGATCCACTATGCTTCATTCAGTACGTGCTGAAATACCTAGCATCAAGTTTGCATTTTATTTATGCTGAAAAAAAACAGCAGAGATAATGCGGGGATTATGAATTCTGCAGATGAGGCACATTGTTGTAGATATTTTATGTTTTAGAAAAAACAGCAATGCGATTTTTAATTATTTTTTTTTAATTAGCCATTGTAAGAGTAAGTAAAACATCTATCAGAAGAAGGATTTATATTATCTGGGTTCTGTTGCAGCAAACAAGTACTGCAGCTTTCATTCACTGATTGTCAAAAACTTTCCAATGTGCCCACTGCAATGCGGATGCCAACCAACGAATCAAAGGCATTCAGCAACTAGACAAAGAGGGTCTGATGCCAACCTCGGTGCCACTGGCAACCATTATTGGCATCAAGCACATTGTCTGCCTTTTTTTTCGCCTCTCCTGGCACTCGACAAACAAAATGGCGGTTCTTGTAGCAACGGGAACACAGCATAAGCACTGCACTGAATCAAATACCATCAAATGATTTTATGGACTGAGATGCGTTTCATACCAAATGACAGACACTCCCTGATGCCTGACAGGAAAAAAAAAAAAATGCAGTTTTGTTAATAGAAATAACATTCATGCCATTTTCAAGGTTTGGGCTTTTTAAAAAAATTGGGGAGGGGGAGGGTGGACACAAGCAGAGCCCTGCAGAAGTGTGTTATGATTAGGAATTCTTTTGATGTTAAACATTGATCACTGCATGTACTTCCCATTTTCTTCCTCCATTTCAGTCAAAGGAGCAGCATTGCAACCTATGTCAAGCTCCTTTTTCTTTTTTTTAAGATCCTAAAGCACAAGAGTATAGTGGAAAGAGAACGGCAGGGGGTGGGGAAAGATGCTGAATTCTGAGGGAGATGAGTAAAAAGTAGAGCCAGATGAAGTTGGTCAATAACAGAACTTCATAGGTCAGTCCTTATTTCTTCTTTCATGGCAGGCGTGGAAGTAGAAGTTCTTTTTATTAAGAACTGAAAGGATTATTGACGCTTCTAGATCTGGAAATTGTCAATATATTGTAACATTACTCTGCACTGCAATGCGGATGCCAACCAACAAATCACAGGCATCCTAGGCTAAACAAAGACGGTCTGATGCCAATCCTGGTGCCACTGGCAACCATCACTGGCACTCAAACTGTCCTTCCTCCTCTTTTTTCCTATAATCTTCTTTTTTTTACAGGAAAAAAAAAAAAAAAAAAACAAAAAAAAACAACCCTCAACCAAAACCAAAACAAAACAAAACAAACTACTTGGCCCCTTTATTCATTTTATGTTCTAATTCCTTCATATTTCGCTCAGGGATTTCATTGTTTCTATGTCTCTGTTTAGTTTTTACATGGTACTATTAGGTGCATTTATATATTCTAAAAGAGAAATAAAAAGCAAAACAGCATGTGTATAACACAACATTTTGGTTGACTTCATGCTTATCTTTTGCAGAGTCTGGTGCTCTTAATCAAGTGCACTACAAAGTGTCACAATTAACCTGCTTTCAATGAAGACAGAGAATCAAGTTTGACAGAACAGAAAAAAAATATAAAGATAACTTAATATGATTTCTTCAAGAAGAGAGCTAACAGATGTTAACGGAAGATTTACTGTGAAGTAGCAAGACAGATACAACATACATGCAGTTTATAATAAACAAAAAGGTCTACTAAGGATGACTTGGTACACAGAAATTAGCTAGCTTCATCTTCCAGTATATTCTCAAAGTAGCATCAAAGAAAGTTATAATATTACAGCATGCTTACTCATTTCTGAGCAAGTGTTTTAAATAAACTCATATTCTCAATCCATTTACATCAATAAAATCAGCTATGCCCTGCAATTCCTTCTCCCACTTCAAGTTATTGGCTTCCAACAACTTAAAAGTCGATAATGTGTACGAGTACTCTGAAACCAGCTTCTTTGGCTCAAGAACTACTTAAACTGTTTTGCCTCCCTTTGTAGTTTTAACTTTTAGAAACACGTAAATCCATTAGAATTAATCAGTAAGCTATGTCTTGCAATATATGCATTCAAAATATAATTTGACTTTTTCTTCACAAAAGGAGTTTAAAGGTACAAATTATTTGTAATTAGGCTATTTTGTTTAATGTTATCAAAGAAATCTTTCTTCCTATATTATTGGGGACCAGATTTACCAGACTCTGCAGCTACTTAAAGCCGCTACAAAATACCTAAGTGTTGTCTTCTGCTGTGAAGAGAAAAATACAAAAAAATACATGCAGGAAAACAAAACAAAACAAAACAATGAACCATATTTTTTCATAATGAATAATCAAAAAAATTTAACCCTTTTTACGTGTTCACGTAAACATAGTACTCCACTTGTGTGAGTAAATGCTAAAAGACAAATTCAATGAAAACAAAAAGGTCATGTTGTGTACCTGTTCTTTCAAGGAATGAGTACACACTGAATGAAGATGTGTGCAATTTTACTTTTTTGCTACAAACAAAACCCATTCCATTTGTTTTCCAGTTATGTATCGGGCATCAGATAACAGCCTGCCATCTGCCCTTCTGCAGGCCATTTCTGCCTACTACCAAGCCAAGTTGTGAAATGGTCTACCATCTGCAGCTGGTCAAACCTTCCCTAGTTTTGATCTGCAGCTAAAAAATAAAAGCTTTATTACTGCTGATCAGTCAACAATACAAAAACGTCTAGAGAACGGTATAATCACCAGAAAGAAATAAAATGACCCCTCAGAGAGAAAAAGCATTTGAGAAGGCTTAGTATCGGAGAAAAAAAACTTTATCTACTTACAGCCATTTACAATTTCAGGGAATCTATCTATGAATATTGTTATCTGAATATGTACTATTACCAGCAGTTTTTTTTCCCTGATACATGATTATCAGAAGCCCCATTTTTATTTTCATTCTGTAAAACTAGGTTTAAGAAGCTTTTCCATAGTGTTCCTGCAATTTTCCACATTTCAATTATCTGACAAATAAAATTAAGAATATGATTGTGATTATGCAAATATACTTCTCATGGAAAATTCTCTCAAAATATTATGACCTGGACCTTTGTTTTGCAGCTCATATAGGTAAAATGAGCTACTGATGTAAAATACAAATAAAATGTTAAATACTGTATGCTGTAATTCTGACTACGTATAGTATTTACAAAGCAGTATTTCTGTTCTAAAGTTTTTTCATGTTTTATTTTATAGATGCGAGAAAGTCTACAATTAATCTTCAAAGTGATAGTAGGTTCATCAGTTTAAGGATGAATGCTAGATTATTTGTAACTACAAAGACAATAATAAATAGTTGTATTATTTATTGTGATTGTCCAATTACACATACCTGCATATGTTACTAACAGTATTGGGGAAACAAAAAACAAACAAACAAAAAAAAAAAAACAAAAAAAAACAACAACTTGAAAAACAAGAAGAATGTTTTCTGAAGTCACAACTGGAAAAAATACAAAACCTATTGCCACTTTTTGACACAAAAAAAAAAAAGGCAACTTCAGTAGAACTAAAGTACTACCTTGGTATGTCCCGCTCTCTCTTGAAAGAGAACAGGACACATATGTCAAAGATACATGTCATTTACACAGGTCTGTAGGAATGTGTGTATATGTAAGTATATATGTATACATGCTGATTTACATAGGGATATGAAGCCACATTACGTCTATAGACCACAGAATAATGTTTCACTGGAAGTCAGCCCACAGGGGAAACAGAGCTGCTTGGAATCAGAGTTTGATATACTAACATAGAAAGACAACAGTCTGCTTCCTACCTTGCTCCTGCACGTAGTATGCCAAAAACAAATCAAGCTCCTTGACTGATACTGTTATGTGATGTGGCTGGACGCAAAGTGCTGGATTTGTGCAATGTGGGGATTTCATGAGCCGCTCTCCATCCGTACTTTCCAAGGGGATGCCTTTGAACAGGATCACCATGACTAGATCCAGACGCCAGACTTTGTCAGCCTGTCGCAGGCAGTCGATTCTCCTAATCTTACCCTTCTGATCAGGATTGGACAATACACAGCATGGGTGCTTCTTCCCAGTCACCGTGAGCACAAAATCCTCCCGGAACTCTTGGCGAATATCTTTGCGCAGCTTGGCCAGGAGCCTGGATGCCCACTTCTGTTTAATTTCAGGCTTTTCGCTAAGTAGCTCATCCTTGACTGCTCTTTCCTCATCCTTTGACATTCGTTTCTCATGTTTTTTAAAGTACTTGCGTTTTCGAGCCTGAAGGTTGAACCAAGTATAGGCAATTGCACGGACATGTGGAAGAAGTGCCTCAATGAACGGGTGAAATTCATCCTGTGGAAAGAAGTGGAGGGTAAAAAAAAGAAGAGAAGAAGAAAACTCAGTCAGTAAGTTCTCATAATCAAAGCAGCATCAAGAAAGCTTTCTGACATCCTAAAGTGAAATCTAAGACGAAGAGAATAGACACTTAAAATTTAAGCAAATTTCTGCATAACACCTTTTACGCAATTACTACCACTGTCAGGCAGCAGACAAAAAGTTCACAGAGAATTGCATTTTCCCCATATCTTTCTCTTTGAAAGAACCATGTGAAGATTTTATTTTGTATGCCTCCCCTCACTACATCCCACAACGCTGCAGAGACAACATCATTTAAAAGAGATGCTATCAAGACATTTTGTTTCTAACATTCAAATATCTGAGTGAACGGCTAACACCAAGAAAAGTACCATTGCACAAAGAGGACACTACGGTTTTAAAAAATCTGAGCAGAAACGTTCAGAAGGCTGAGGCGAATGCCACAGTTCATTTCTCTTCTCTGTGGCACAGAAACACAAAGCATATACATGCTCAGTGTAATGGCACACAGTTCCCGCTTTTGGAGCATGCTCTCAGCAAGAGACTGCTGGTGGCACAAAGAGCATGCGCCATTAAACTTGATCCATTTTCTTATCAAACGTCCAACATTCCAGCACTGAAACAGCACCATTCCAGCGGTGGTAACTAGAGAAACCAGTATACAGTAAGGAAAAGCAGGCAAAAGACACAGCGTGTCGTATACAAATCCTGAACAGAAGCTTCTGTACTTTCAGCTCTTCAGGCTTCCCTCCCACCACCCCCAAACTCTGTAAAATAAAAGTTTATGAAGTTGAGAACAAAAATTACATTTATGTTCTTCCAACAGTTCTGCTGTGGGTTTTGAAGCCCCCACAGAGTCAGTTAATTTGTTAACTGATCACATGAGTGTGGCAATTATTCTAAACCCCTTAAAAATCAATCTGAGGTGTACAATGAAAAATGGCAACTTGGCACAAACTTTGCATTCTTTGTGTTTCTGCATGCTGTGGCAGAGTGACATTACGAGTGCACCGCTGGTCAAATGCTGCTTTCATGAAATCCATGCAATTTATTTACAGTTCCAAAATATCCCCTTCTGTCATCTGGCTTCACCTGCAAGTTCTTATCTTCTGCCTAGCAGCGATATGGATTGCATTAAGGAGGTAATGCTTAGTTGTCGTCTACAAGTACATCCTACAGCAATTAAATTAATTCGTTTTGTCTGCTTAAAGTACCATCCTACACATCCATGTTACTATCTAAATAGGCCTTTCCCAAAAACTAATACCTCTTTTCCGTGAGCAAATCCGCTGTTTAAAACAGCACGATCTGCTTATCAAACATTACTGTATTTTTGTTTCCAAGGGAGACCTTAGGGGAGGTATCTTTCTTCCTGTGTGCAGGCGTATTTAGTTTTAAATACCACGCATTTTGCTCATCATACTGAGTGGCACAGTACAATCAAACTAAAAGTGAACCTTTTTTATACAACTATATTCAATAATACAATTAAAAAACTAATATTTTAGCTATGCTGCTAGACAAAGAATGAATTATGTTTAATCAATACGCTGATTAACTCCGTTACGTAAAAAGATGAAAGTATAACTAATGGTCTCAATTATACAGAGTTCAGACTGCCATTGCAGAAGCTTCAGGCCATGAATTTAGGATCTAAATCTTCAAATTTCAAACAAACTTCAAAATTCCACGAGGAGTAAAACAACCAAGTAGACCTAGTTACCTCTCTTCCTTAAGCGTCCTCAAATGAAACAGAAAACAACAGAAAAGTTGGAAGCAGTTTACCTATGACCACGTTACTGTCACAAAAAAAAAAAAAAAAAAAAAAAAAAAGGAAAAGAGTTAAAAAAAAAAAAAAAGAAAAAAGAGAGAAACAATATAGAAAGATAGTTCAGGACATAAACAATTGCACTGCAGTATGATGCTCGACAAAGAGCCACAAAGGCAATAATTAAACTGATTAGTAGTTTCCAGCAGAGATTTGAACAATTCTGATACTATACTGGCACATAAAAGTAGGCCATGGAAAGAGTTAAACCACAATCTGTTCTTTGTGTGGGAAGGCAATACTGCTCTGAGTAACCACAGCCCATGATAAGACTTCCCTGTCTTCATACACTTTCTGATGCCATGTTTTTTTCCCCTTAATTATAACTACTAAAAAAAGTTTATTTTTTCTCCTACAAAAGTCAACTTAATTGATGTATTCAAATAAAATTTAAAAAAAAAAAAAAAAGCAACAACAATATCAGCATAAAGACGGCACGCTATTAAATCCTTACAATTCATTTTAGATGGAATAAAACAGATTTACTACAGATTTTGAAAATTCTAACAGCTGAGGTTAAAGGTGGGACAAAGGCAGAGGCCTGAAGAGCTTTGAGACAAATTAATTTTTGCCCCTATACAATGATTTCCCCTACATCTAAACAGACTTCTGCATTTATAACTTAAAATGGCAAGAAAATTAATGTGGAAATATTCTACACTACTAGAATACTACTCATCTAGTTTTTATTTTTGAGAAGAACATCACAAACTATTTTGGAATTACTATGCCTTTAGGTAATGCACATAGTATTATCAATAATAACCTATAGTATTTTATATCTATGAAAATTTTAGAGACAAAAATTTTACTTTTTAAATTCCAGTCTTTAGTGGTTGGATGTTTCTTTCTCAAAGAGTGGGAAAAAAAAAAAAAAAAAAAGGTACAACAAAAATACCCAAACAAGAAAACAACCCACACTTTTAGAAACTGTATTCAGGCTTTTCTTTCATAATATCATTAAGCAGTAAGACATTAATATATGTGAAAGAGTGTGAAGGAAAAACACAGCAAAGAACATTCTGTTCTAAAGCAATATTATCAGATATCTTTGAGAGATTCATTGTGCATCTGGAGTCCTTTCAAATGAAACATTACTTGACAAGAAAAAGTGCCCATAAAAATGATCCTAAATGGAGATTTGCAATTAATCACACACATTCTACACTAAACCTTCTAAAAAGCCATCTACAGGTTTTGATTTTTTTTTCCCCTTAATATTCATACAGGCAATGTTGATTTTTTTTTTTTTTTTATGTGGCACTTACCCATGTGCCACAGTTGCTCTTGCAATAAAGTGATTTATGGTGGTAAGATTTTCAAATGTCATATTAAATGGCTCAGGTGAACCACTGTGCACTGTCAATTAACACAAGTTACTGTACAATACCTACATAGCTTGTAAATAAATGAAAGAATACCAGTCATCTAATGATGAGAGATAGGCCAGGTTTTCTTTTTGAAAAGGTAAAGGGGAAATGCAGCGCTTTTCTCCTATCTTCTACTTTTGCAAACTTTGTATCAATTAATGCAAATTTGGACTGAGGACCATACAATAAATATGCCAGGCAGAAGTTAAGGAATTTTATACAGAAAACTTCAGGTGCTCAATTTCCCTGCATGGCTTTTCTCCGTGTCTAATGAAACAACATATTATAGGAGGAAAAGAAAACGACAACATATTCTGAGTTTCCTGGACCACCATAACATAAAAATAAACCATGGCAAAAATATCACAAGAGACCAAGCACTTAAAGGCATGCGGTAACTGCATCCTATCACGCCTAAGCAAGAGAGATAAATGCAGTTTACACTCATTCCAAAACAGGGGGAAAGAGGCATATGGGAAGGAGAGGAAAGGACCCCCCAAAAAATTTAAATTGCATTTGGTGAGTCTTCATTCTTTCTTGCAGTTATTTTACACCCATTAAATTTTTACTGAAAGAGTGATAGGTAACAGTTTTATTGCCAGGGTTTGTCTTAGAGCTGTACTTTGGATTTTAGACTTGTTTCTAAAAGGTACTTCAGCACTGTCTCAGCACAAACTGCGCTTTCACAAGGACCTCAGTCCAAACAGGTGTTCTGTATTTAGAACTTTTACCAAAATATTTTATTCTGAGCATATACTACCAGAGTCAACGTGCACCGCAAGAGCCCTAGAGACAGAGAACACAATGGAGAGAACAATTTTGGCAGTACTACTTTAACTTGGTCACAACTCAAGATTAATCAGTCTTTTGCTTTAAATAAATAAATAACACAAAGTATAAATTCTCACTGCCAGTGTGTTCTTTATTTTCAATTTATGGGGATGAAAGATTATTTTTTAAATGCCTTTATCATTCCAAACAGGTAGAGAAAGATTCCAAACTAAAACCAATTTGCTGCAACTGTGTTCCATGTATGTACCACTAAATGGAAACTGTCTCTGCATGGCCCATGATATAGCGCAACTGTAGAATATTATGGAGAAGTTATCTATGCACAAAAGCCAGGAATTCCTTTCTCATATTTATGGCTGTAGAAGTACAATGTTGTGTTTTTGTATACACCTGAGTGCGGTATTTTCGTACAGATTTAATACATGTGAGTCCAAAAAGCAAACATATCGGGGGGGGGGAAACATTAGAGCAGGAAACAACAAAATTAACTACCCCCTGCAGTAGAGGTGGTAGTGAAAATATGCGTGTCCCTGAAGTAAAAAACCTCTTTCTTAAATTGTGCTCCCAGGCTAATACTCCGGTGCAGAGGTCTTATTGCCTGTCAATAATTTCACAGGATGGGCAGCCCACACAGAATTAATTTTTACTAATTGCAGACTCCACCGTATGTAATTATTTCTATGTGGTACCTGCAAGCATGTGTGTATCTGTTACACAAAACTCTTCCTACATGCATTCATTTCTCTTTTGAAGAAGAAATATCTCAACAGTACTCTTTTCCAGCTCTGCTCCACTGCAGCTCACGTTTACTTGCTGAAAATATCCATATCTAAGTCAATCACACTTAGATGCCAAACAAAATATAAACAATAAAAAATGTGTCAGCCAAAAAGCTACAGGACTGTATCCAATCACTGAATAAGCCTTATCACTGTTTCCATCTTCATTCACAATTTATGAATACTTCTGTCCCTTTGAATTACAACGCTTTCTAATCGTGGAATAGCTTAAACCCCGTTTATTTTTCCACCGTGCAACTAAAGTGCATCGCTGGCCGCTGTAACAACAGTTTTGCGGGAAACGTTACTTTCGCACATTTTGTGCTTCTTTAGCTATTTGTTGCACCAATGTGGACGCAAGCAGTTATCGCTTAATCAGTTTACATCACATCCTCCTAAGACAGACTTTCACAAAAGCTCATGAAAACTGTCCCCCGGCTTTACAGACCGGCACAGGCGCCGGTGCCCCGGCGCTCGCTCCCCGTTACCGGGCGCCCGGCAAAGACGCCCCGGGGCCACCGGGGGAACTTCCCAAGCCCGCTCCCTAAACCCCGCTCCGGTCTCAAGCCCTGCACGCCGCCGCGGCGGGGACCCCCGCTCGGGCTGCCCGCCGCCCCCCGCCCTCCGCCCCGCTCCGCGGCCCCGCGCTGCGCCGGCCGCGGCTTCGCCTCGCTCCCCCCCGCCAGACCCGCTGGCAGCCGCCGTCGGGGCTGGAACAGCGGCGGCAAGCGCGGTGGTGAGAGCCCGGCGCGGCCGGTCGCCTGGGCGGGGAGGGCACCGGCTCCCCCCGCCAGCCCTGCGCTGAGGCGCGGAGGGGCGCGGAGCAGCGCGGGGAAGCGCCGTGCCCCTGCAGCACCGGGCGAGAAAGTGCCGCGCAGCTCAGGCATCCCCGCTCGCATCGCCCCCGCTGCTGGCAGGCCGCGTATTATTAATTAAGCATAAGACGGGATTGCTTCGCACCGGCGAGCGCTCGGTTTTTTGTCAAAAACAGCACTTTTCCTTTCAAACCCTTTCATTAGGCGCTGCGTGAACTGGCGAGCTGAAAAGAGAGAGCAAATCGTGTGATTCCTATCAAATCAATACTTCCCAAACCTGCTTTTTAGCGTAATTATGCTCATTTCCATTTTGTTAACCTTTGACTTCCTATGCACCGACAATTAACAGTATTTGTCTACGGGTGACACTTTGAATGGATCTCCCCAAAACAATGGCCTGGTATAGTTTATTCTCTACTATTCGCTCCTGCGAGAGGAGTTTGGATCTGACAAGCAGTTACAACTGTGTTTTAACCCGTTACAAGTACTAGTAATGACTCATTAAGAACTCACATACATATAAAAATAATTTAGGAAAATGAAAAAAAAAGTGAAAATAAAATAACAAATAAATTAAATAAAACGCGTCTATACCTGAGTGAGACAGATTGGAGAATACATCATGACTTCGCTTTGAGAACACGCTGCCCGAAGAGCCCCAAAGAAAAGCCTCAAAAAGGAATAATTTCATCTATTCATTTTATAGTCATCTGAGACTCAAGGAAGATGAAATCAATCAGGACGGGGCTCTGCCCTGGATCACCACAACTTCACAACAAACCCCAGTCCTCCTTAAATAGCCAAAGATTCAAGTTCACTCCGTGTGCTAGATTTCCCGGGGTGAAATCCAATCTACACTTTTAACCCTCTTGTAGTCGGCGGCGCAGGAATCTTGCTTTTGCTGCTGCTGCTGCTGGTGGTTGTTTTGCAGATGAGGGGGGAAGGACTCGGGGGGGGGGGGGGGGGAGGGGGTGGGCGGGAGGATTTTTTTTGTTTGTTTCGCTTTTCTTTTTCTTTTTTTTTTTTTTTTTTTTTAAGAAGTTGTTAGTGGCGGGTTATTGCGGCACTGTCACCGCGCTCTCGAAAGTTCAAGGTTACAGCCCGGAGCGGAGCAGGAAAACCCCGGCGAGTGACGGGCAGCCGAAACTTCGCGGGAGCAGCGCGACCGCGCGCGCGAGAGCGAGCCGGGGCGGGAGCGCGCGCGCGGGGCATGGGCGCGGGGGGGCGCGGGCTCCCCCGGCCCCTCCCCCCGCCCCGCGGGTCAGCCGCGAGAGGCCGCCCGGCGCGCGCCCGCCGCAACGGCAGCGGCCGCTTGGAAATTCGGGCGATCCGGGGGATCGGGGCGGGGGGGGGGGGGGGAAGGCTAGGAGAGGTGGGGTGGGGCGTCCCCGCGCTCCATCCCGGTGTGCTCCCGCCGTGTCCGTCGTGTGAGCGCGCGCGCGTGTGTGGGTGTGGGAGTGCGTGGGGGTGCGGGTACGCGGGGATGTGTGCGTGTCTCCACTCTGCAAAAACTTGGAAGTTGAAAAATTGACCGGTTGCACCCTCTGGACTCCGCTCCAGCTCTCCCCCGAAATGAGACTTAAGATTTTTGTGGTTATGGTTTTTTTTGTTTTGTTTTGTTTTGTTTTTTTTGTTTTGGTTTGGTTTTTTTTTTAATTATTTAATTACACAATCATCACTTACACTCCTCCTCCTCCTCCTCCTGCAAACACATCCCTTCGCCGCCGGATCCCCCTCCTCTGCCCTCCCCCTTCATTAATCACCACCTAACGCTGCAGAAGGAACCAGCACGTTCTGCAAACATCCCTCATTTTCCCTCTCTTCTGGTGGGAGAAAGTTGCCGGGGATTGCGGGGGGGGGGGGGGGGGGGGTGGAGGGCGGCTGCCATCTGCAGGAGGTTCACTTCCCTTCTCCTCCTACCGGGGTACGATTTTGTCAGCGGCGGCGGGGCTCAGGCGCCCCTGCCCCTCGCCTCGGCGGGCACAGGGGAGGGCAGGTCCCCCCGCTGGCCCCCGCAAAGAAAGGGGGGCCGGGGGGGGCCCTCTCCAGCACGGCCGGTAACTGCTGCCCCGGCCCTCGCAGGCGGCTGCCGGGCAGTGGCGGGGGGTCCCGGCTCCCGGGCAGCAACAGGGCGCGGGGTCCGGTTTCAGTCTCCCGGAGGCAGCGCTTACGGGGGGAACTGGGGCAAGGCGGGGGAAAAGCAGCGAACGAAACTTTATTTCGGCTCCTGCGGGGAGGGCTGCGACGCGGAGAACAGCGGGGATGATTTGGGAGCGGGTGTGTGGGAGGGGGTTCTCGGTGTGTGCGACCCACCCCCGTCCCGACCCCAGCACCTCCGCTACCGCCTGCGGGCGGGAGCGTTTGAGCTCCCGGGGCCGGTGCGCAGCCCCCCGGAGGGACCGCTGACTTCCTCCCTGCCCAAAGTGAGAGTTTATTCACGTCAGGCATTTCACAACTACACATCAAGGAAAGTAGGCAGGTTCAAGTCAACCATGAAATGGTCACTTTTTAACCCCGTCCTGTCCTCATTAGGGAAATGCTCAAACACAGCCCATTTTCAAAGAGGGCTCTTAATGAGGGGAGCTTGCCAAGTCTACCAGCTGCAATTCCCATAAATTTACAAACCAAAAGAAGCAGGGGGATGGGCGGGAGAAGGAGAGAGCCCGTACAAGACAGGTAATGTCAAAGGAAACAGCAAGAGCCCGACGCGTTAACCCTTGCAGAATCCACACCGCATCCCCGCAGCTCCGGTTTCCAACTGCACTTGCCCAGTTCCCTCAGATTTGCAGGGTTTGAGCAAGAGCCGCGGTTCTTCCCTTCTACAGACCACATTGATAAGTGACAAGTTCAGAGCATATGCCAAGGAAATAAGGGATGAGGCAAACTCGGGGTTAACCACAATGAGCAATTTTCCTATCTGGTGTAGGATACCCCCCCAAATCCTATCATCTTTTCCTTTACCCAGACGCTGCAAAAAGCTGATAACACCAGCTTTTAAATCCTGGAGTTTTCCTTTGAATTAATATTCAATTTAACTGGAGTTAATTTACCATAAAAGACATTCCCCTTGGCACAAATGCACCGATGTCCTTGAACACACCTCTTGGAGCGCTTGGACTCCTACACAACAAGCCATTATTGTGGACCCGATTTAAAACCACAATAAGCCCCCTCCATCCCCTTCCTCCCTCTCAACTCTCTGGGAGGATCAGGGTAAGCCCCCCACCACCACATCAGCAAGGCCACCCCTGTGAGCTGCATGGATGCGAGAAGCATCTCCTTCTCCCTGTCAGGGCTTGCAGAAGTCCCCACTCCCTCCCAGGTCCTGGCCAAGGGACCACTTTGTGCTAGAGACCTGTACATTAAGAGCAAGAACCGTCTGGCAAGGTCCCAGGATGAGAGGTGAGCTGGAAAAAGCAAACAGCAAGGTAAGGGCAGACACCAAGCTGGGCACTTTCTGCAGCCCTCGCTACTGCCAAGGCGGTGTGAAGTCAGGGTGAGATTGGGTTTGCATCCCCAAAAGAGCCGGCTGAAGGTGGGTTTGCATCCCTACCCAGAGCAGGCAAGGGGGGCTGAGCCCAGCCAGCCCTGCAGCACGTGTTAGTATGCCCCCAGAATAGCGCTGCTGGGGATCCCAGCAAAGCCAGACCCACCCCAGAGCCGGTCTGCTGGCCCAGGACTGAGCAGGCCCCTCACATCCTGAGGGACATGGAGTGGGCTGGCCAGCATGGCTCGTGTAGCATCTTGTCTTCTACCTGACCTAGGCGGCAAAGCAGGCACGGTGCAGGTTGCCATGGGTTTGCCTCCAGGTTGACCCACATGCTCCCTGTGCAGAAGTGAAAGCAGGCTGAACTGGGCACCCAAAAGGCATGTTTCAGCTCTGTTCCTTCTGGTTAATCCTAGTGGAAACCCATACAGGAAGGAGGCTTTGTCCTGGGAGAACCTTACACACACACACCCACACACACACAGCCCTCACAGACAAATCCAAACCACACACCCCTTCCCCGGCTCCCTTCACAGGAAAGCAAGCTAAAGATTCTTTCCAGAACAGAGAAAGAACTCAATTAAAATAAAAAGAGCAACTCTCTACCACTTCCTTGCAGAGGTACGAAAATAGGTATGTGGGAACTGGGTTAGCCTGGAGAAACATGGTATTAATGCAGCAATGACAGCAGCCACAGTGGCTGGGCCCTGGCATGCAGGGAGACCTTGTGGGAAAGTGGTTCAATTGCTTTCAAGTCCTGGCTTGCATTAACTCCCCATCCCCCTGAAAACCCTTCCCTCCCATCTTACACACTGAAAACCCTGCTGCTGCTGCAAGTTCTCTACCCTTGAAGCTCTGGGCTGGGGGACGGTTGCTTTTCATCCTCACTGCCAGAGCTGTGCCAACCTCCATGCTGGATCTGAAGGTTCAGCTATCATTTCAATGTAGGCAATTAAGAAAAAAAAAGTCACCAGCTGACCTTCCTGGTGATAGCCACCGGGAGCTGTTCCCAACTCCAGGGGGCCAGGATGGCCCGAGGAATTCTGCCTTCAGGCAAGACGCAACGTGAGCACCGGTAACACACGCCTGAACACACAAGCAGCTGGGCACATGCACACAGGTGCCAGAAAAATTAACCCAACAAAAATACGCGTTCAGGAACAGCAGGCACCTTTCACATCAGTAAGTGGTAAATACTGAAGCTGTGTGTGAATCACCCTCCCGGGGAGGGGCAGGGGGCTATCCCCACCCCACCCTGCCTCATGCCTCCCACAGACCTCTGGCCAGGGTGGCCTGGGTGGAAGGACATCCACTGCCCACGCTGCAGGCTCTGAGGCAGTTCATCTCAGGAGAGAACCAGAAAGGCTTTTTGATACCATGAGTGGATGGGCTTGCTCCCCATCACCCACCCTAGCTCCCCAGAGGAGTTTGTTGCCAGTGGTGCAGATCCTGGTATGCCAGAATTGCACTGGCAGCCTGGGTTTTCCCTCTGTCCCTCACAGACAATGCTCACAAAGTTTACCAGATGTTGCAAAGCAGCACTGCCTTTGGACTTTAGAGATAATTAACGTTAAAAAGTGGAGAGGCCAGTTAGACCACCAATATCTTTCCTAAAGCGGAATTTCAGCTGATGCTGTTTGGCTGGACAACTGCTCAAATGTTTCAAGTTTTGGAGCACATGAATATTATTATGCATCAAAAATCAAAGAGAAACATATTGATGATGCTGACGTGTGCAGCCTAAGATTCTCTCAGGATACAAGTGGGCACTTTGGCTATCTAAACCTACACATCCTGAACTTCTAAGAAATCAAATTTTCATTAAAATTCCAGTAGTCTCTTCGTGAAAATCAGAAACAATTTATTCTGGCATATGGCATTCCATCTAAAAGATTCAGTATCTGAGAACTAGCTCCAAAAGTTTTACTTAAGAGGTTTCTGTGATCCAAAATACAAGCTTTACAGTGGTTTTTATATCTAGTTTAATAGCAACACTGTTAATTTATTTTTCACCCTCTGTTAGGAAACACCATTCACACACATGACCATTAGGTATACAGTTACTTAGCTACAAACATAAATGCTGAGCTGCACAAACATAATATAGTTTATGTCAACTACATGGAACAAGTAACTTAAACCATATTATATCATCAGGGTGTTACCTCATGGTGATTCTATCTGTATAACTAGCCTTCGTGCCTTGCAAGACCTCTTGTACCATTACATTAAACTGCAAAGTTTCACATCTTTGGCATAATCAGAGCCTTGGTCAGTGTTCTTATGTACAGAAGTATTGTGTGTGCACATAGGTATGCATGTATACATAAACATATATATATACACAGAAAGTTGGGTAGAAAACATTTAGGGAACAAATGTAACTGATTAAATAAACAAACTGATAATACATTGGTTTATGGGGTCTCAATACACTTCATATGCGGCTGAGTTGTAAAGTATTTATGATTT